GGTTGGGGGTTTGTGGGGTGGTTTGATCATGGGTTGGGGAGGGGGTTGGGGGTCGCTTTGTCGATTGGCTCAGGGGTGAGTTGGTCGTTGGGTTGGTCGGGGGCCGTCGGGCCGGTCAGGGGTCATTGGGGGTCAGTTCAGGGGTTTGTTGGCCGAGGGGGTGGGTGGGGGTGGGGGTTGGGGGGGGTTGATGTCCTCCATGGCCCCTCCCCCGCCCAGAGACACCACAAGAGAGATGAGAAAACCAAAAACCAGCTTTTTAATAATTACAAAAAATGAACATCGAGTTGGGGGGGGGGGGGGGCGGCGCAGGACCCACCCCCAGAACACGGCGAGTGCCGGGGCCACCAACCCTCCGTGTCCCCAGCCCCGGGGCCACCAACCCTCCGTGTCCCCAGCCCCGGGGCCACCATCTCCCACCTCCCCAACCCCAGGGCCATCATCTTCCATGTCCCCAACCCTCGGAGCCACCATCTCCCTCCTCCCAGTGTCCGTGGCCACCGTCTGGTCACGACGAGCTCCGGGGCCGCCGTCCCTCCACGTCCCCGACTTTGGAGCCGCCGCCTTCCACGTCACCAACTCCGTGGCCACCGGCCCGGCCCGACGAGCCCCAGGGCCGCTGTCCTTCCACATCCCAGTCCCAGGACGCCGTCCACTGCTCGGGGCCACCATCCCTCCACGCCACCGTCCCAGGGGGCCACTGTCCATTGCCCACAGTCACCATCCCTCCACATCCCGGCCCCAGGACCACCATCCATCGCCCACGGCCACCGTCCCTCCGCGCCCCCGGCCCCGGGACCACCATCCCTCACCTGTGGCCGCCGTCCCTCCGCGCCCCCGGCCCCGTGGCCGCCGCCCCCGTGCCCCTCAGCAGCCCTGCTCCCCCCGTGCCCCTCAGCAGCCCTGCTCCCGCCCCGCCGGGTGCTTCCTGCGCAGGTGCCTCTGGAGCGTGTTTCGCTCCCCGAAGCGCAGGGGGCACTGGGGGCAGGGGAAGGGCCTCTCCCCCGTGTGCACCCGCTGGTGCTGGGCCAGCTCGCCCGAGTCCCTGAAGCGCCGCGGGCACAGGGGGCAGCCCAGGGGCTTCCTGCCCGCGTGGGTGAAGCGGTGCCGCTCCAGGTGCGACGTCCTCTTGAAGGCCTTGCCGCAGGCCCGGCACACGTGCGGCTTCAGCGGCGAGTGGGTGATGCTGTGGCGCTGCAGGTACGACAGGTACGCGAAGGAGCGCCCGCACTCGGGGCACCAGAACGCCCGGCCCCGGGGGGGGGGCCCCGGCCGCGCCCCCCGGCTCCGCCACCAGCACCGTGTAGGGCAAACCTTGGCTGTCGATGAGCAGGTACCGACCCCCCGGGCCGGGGGGGGCCCC